TAAGTATTATCACTATAGGAAAAAAGAAAATTTATTATTATTATTATTATTTTTTTTAGTAGCCTAAGTTATTTTAGGTGAAAGGGACTAGTGGATTGTGGGAAGGATATTGATAATTAAATAATTGATAATTATTATTATTATTATTATTATATTTTGTTTTATTAAATATATATATATATATATATTTATAAATATAATTATATATAAAAAAAGGGGTTTAAAAAAAAAAAATTATAAAAACAAACAAACACAAAAACAAACACAAAACAATCAAAAATGGCAAAAAAAATTAATTAATTAATTAAAATTAATATATATATATATAAATATTTATGTAATATTGTTGGATTGTTTGTTAATTAAACTATATATATATATATATATATATATATATATATATATATATATATATATATATATATATAAAATTAGGGGTATGATAACATGATAACGATTATCAAATCAAAAGATGATTGATAAGGGATGAAATGAGATGAGGGTTGTTTTTTTTCTAATTATTATTATTGTTTTTTAAAACTCATCTTACATACTTTTTATTGATGCAAAAAGAAAAAAGAAAGAAAGAAAATTATTATTATTATTAATTGCATACATACATGGATAAATATTTGATTGATTGATTTGATAAAAAAGATTGATTGATTGATTGATTTGATAATAATGATTGATTTAATATATATAGAGCATGTTTGATTCCATCGCTTCCCTGCCAAAAAAAAAAAATTTAATAATAATATTAACAAGAATTTTTTATTTATATTTTATTAATTATTATTATTATTATTATTATTAAATATTTTTTGAATGAATGAGAATGAGAATGAGAATGAATTGAAGAATGTGTGTGAGGTGTGGTAATAGTCAATTTTATTAATTTAATTTAAAAAGAGGGAAAATATTATTATTTTAAATTGTTTTCTTTTTTTTTTCTTTCTCATTATTATTATTATTATTATTATTATTATTATTATTATTATTATTATTATTATTATTATTATCATTACTATTATTTTCAAATATGGTGTTATTTATTAAATTTGATAAATAAATAATAAATAAATAAATAAATAAAAATGGTGGTGATTAAAGAATAAATAATAAATTAAAGAAGAAAAAGAATAATAATAATAAAAAATATATATATATATATATATACATAAATACATATATATTAAATACATACACGCATACATAAATAAATAATTATATTATAATTATTATTATAATTAATATTATTATTATTATATTATTATTAAAAGCAAAAATTGTGTGTTAAATAGAATTTAATAATTATTTAAAAAAAAAAAAAAGAAAAAGAATAAGATGAAAGAAAATGTATACTAAAAAGAAATTTATTATAAACTAAACTATTTTTCTGTTTTTAGTGTATATTAATATAAATTTGTAAAAAATAACAAAAAAAAAACAACAAAAACTTGGAAAAATTAAAAATAAATAAATAAAAATATATATATATAATATATAAATATAGTATATAAGATGATGAGGATGAAGATGATGAATGGTTAGGAAATGAAAAAAATTATTCTAAATCGCTCTTAATCTTTTTTTTTTTATATTTGGTTCATTTTGTTATTATTATAATTGGGCATATCTTTTGTAATGAAGTCGCCATTTTGTATCCGCGCGAAAGCTCAACCGGAAGTTGCGAAATAAAAAAAAAAAAAGTAAAATTAAACACATATATATATAGATAGTTATATACACAACGATTTAGCAACACAATTATATGTTAAATAATGGGATTATAGTTTGTTGTGAATATTACGTTTAAATAAATTTTAATTTTTGATTAACCGTTAGACGTATTACTACTATTCAGTTTCCGTTTTTCACTCAAGCCGTGAACAAGTGAATTGTGTAATTAAGTTTTTTCTTTTTTTTTTTTTTAAATATATAAAATATTTGTAGACAGATGAGAAAATATGTTTTAATAAAAGAGTGAGATTTATATTTAATAATTTAAATAAATTTTAAAAGATAAATTAGCATTTGAATTTAAAAAAAAAATGAAAAAAGATTAACATGTAACTGACACATTTCAAATCCATGTTATATTACATACACATATTAAATGTAAGTTTTTTTTAATTTATTAAAGATTAATTTGATTTTAAAATAGCACAAATTTGTACAACAAACAATGAGTCTGGTAACAAACAAACAAACAAAAAAAGGTTTGAAATATTATTATTATTATTTCATATAAAATTAGGATATGATGTAGTTAGTATATAACCTTGTTTGAAAATTTTTTCAATATGAAGTCCACAACATGCAATTGTGTGTGTTTGAATATGATCTTTTTTTTTAACATATCTGTTTTAGGACATGTTGTTACAACATAATTAACATATAAACATAATAATAATATTGGCATAATTACTATACACAACTGTATTGGAAGAATATGATGATTTGGATGAAATCATTTCAATGTAAGAGAACAAAACATTTTTTTTTGTTATTTTTTTAAATTAAACAGTCATGGAAGGTGGTAGAGAAATGTGTTAGACACATGATACAATTACAATAATTGTAGTTTAATTATAATACATTATTGATTAAGTTGATTTAATAATAATAATGATAATCAATAAAAGTTGCAATTGATTTAGAATACAAAGATTTGATTGATTGATTGATTGATAGACACATGATTGATTGATAGATTATTATATGTTGTATTTATAATACTAACACACAAATGTGTTGTTTCCAATGCATTTTTGGAAATAAAGAAACAAGATTCAATTATTTATATATATATATATAAAATAATTGATAAATATATATTTAAAAAAAGAGAGAGAGTTTTAAAAATTAATTAAATTTATTTTTTCTATCATTCAAATGTTTCATTATGTTGAATATTTTAACACATGATGATGATCAAAAGAGAGAAATTTAAATTAATTAATTAAATAATAATAATTATTATTATTATTATCATAATGAGTTTTTTGTTTTATTAATTATCAATTAAAGGAAGAAGGAATGAAAGAAGGAAATTTTTTTTATTTTTTTTTATAGCCCAATGTTGGCACCAAGTGCCTATATAATTAAAAAAAAAAAAAAGAATACAATAAGAAATAATGATAAACCTGATATATAATATTTCAAATATTACTTTGATTAATAATAATAATAATAATAATAATAAAGAAAATTTTATTTTCAAAATATGTCTATTATTACCTGTTGCAAATATGTTGAGTCATATAAATATATATATAATTATTTAAATATTTGTATAATTATTATAATATTTATATATATAAAAATTAATTATTATTATTATTATGATGATGATGATGATGATGATGATAAAAAAAGAAATAATTTGATTGATTGAGGGGGTGAAATTGCGCACAGACATTTTTTTTTTGAGGTGGGTTAGGTTTTCCCTACCTGAAAAAAAATTTTTTTGATAAATTACATTAATTGATTGAATGTATTTTTAAAAAAAAAAAGGTTTTGTTTTCCGTTTGTTTGTTTGTTTGTTTGTTCGTTTGTAATAATTAATCACACGAGTGTTGTTATTATTATTATTATTATTATTATTATTTTCAAATTGAGAAAAATTGAATTTTTTTTTTTTTTTTCCTTTTGCTTTTTTTTCTTTTTTTTTTTACTTTTTGTTGTTGTAATAAATCTGTTGCCATTCTTTCAATTAATGTAAATTATGTCAAAAATTAGGTTAATATAAATAAAATATAAAATTAATTAATTGATAAATAATAATAATAATAATAATAAATCGAATATTATTAAAATTTAAGTGTAAAATAAAATAAATAAAATATGTATTTAATTATTTAATGAGAGTAATGATTATTATTATTATTATTATTATTATTATGACGATAATAATTATATTAATATAAAATAAATTAAACGACGTGTGTGTAAACACAAAAAATATTAATAATAATAATAATAATAATATATTTAAAAAATTGTAAAAAAAATAATAAAAAGAGGAAGAAATCATTTATAAATATAATAATAAATATAAATAAATTTTTGTTTTGTTAAAAAAAAAAAAAAAAATTATTTATTTATTTATTTATTTATTAAAATATTTTCTGTTTCAGTTTTTTTATTTGGGCACCTGGGAAAATTTTCCATCAGAAAATTCCATTTGGAAAAATCATCATCGAAAGGGATACATAACAAATTTGTTTAAATTTAATATACATGAAGGCCCCCACTTCCGCCATTTTATTTAAATGAGTAAATAAGGTAAATAATTTTATTAATAATTTTTCTTTTTTCACAATATTATTATTATTATTATTATTATTATTATTATCATCTGCTTCTTTTGAGACGATATTATTATTATTATTGGGCAAAATTTTTCAAAAGGAATTTAAAAAAAAAAAAAACGATTTGATTTTTTTACGTTAAATAATTATTTTATTTATTTATTTATTTATTTTTATTTTTTGGCAAAATATGCCACATTTTCAAAACATAAACGCATTTACATTTTTTTTGTGTTGGGGGGTGGAGGGGAGGAAAGGGAAAAAAGGAAAATTTTATTTAAACCTCGTGCTCCCCTCGAAATTATTATTATTATTATTACTACAAACGTTTTTATAACTTTATCGCGCGAGAGGTAATAAATTGATTGTGGGGGGAGGGAAGGATGAAGGTGTTGGTGAGGGTGAGGGGCACGAGATAGGGGAAGAGAACACATTCGTATATATTACATGAGGATGCTATTGCATTGAGCGAACAATAATAATAATAATAAGTCTTTATTTAATTTTAATTTTTCCTTTTTTCCCTTTTTAGGTTTTTTTTTTTTTTTTTTAATTTTCCAAAGCTCGATTCCGTGTGTGTGTTGTCCGAATCGAATTTTTTTATAGAGGCTCTAAGCTAAATTTTTCATTACGGGGAGAGATTTCGTTGATTGATTGATTGATTGATTGATTGATTGAACGTTATTATGCAACCGTGACCGTCCTGTGATTTTCCACATCCGAATCCGATCCTGATTCGCTTCTGTCGGAATATTTTCTGCTAGACTGTAAGAGGAGAACAAATTTTTTATTTAAAAAAAAAATCTTCACCCCCCCCCCCCGTCGCCACAACTCGTTTCCATTTTAGTGTTAGTCATTCTTACCAATTTTCTTTTGTTTTGCCTTATTTTGTACTCTCCAGGCGTTTTGAGCAAGTTATTCGGATATTCGAGCTTACTTTCGAGCGTCGATCCTCTACTAGACGGAACGTATTCTGACGTGTTTTCCTCATTTGAAAAATCTGTGTCTTGAATAATTAGCCTATGCTTGTACAAGTTTCGACAGTTACGCGTTCCTGGACCGATGGGTTTTCTCGCCAAACTGTGTTAATTTAAACAAAAAAAACCAAATTAATCTTGTGTTCCCCTTCGTCCTTTTCGATGTCGATAATTTTTAGTCCTTATTATGTAATAATACTAACCTTCGCCTCCTAATTGGTTGTTCATAAATATCATCCTCTGAAAAGCTGTCTAAAATGTCATCCTCCAATAAGGATTTCGTTCTTCTGTTAGGGGAAAAAAAAAAAAAACAGAAAATCAGAAAGAAGTAAAAACTAAAATTTTTTGAACCTGTAATGTACATACCTGGCATTGTTTTCGGCATCAGCAGTTTCCGGTGACGTGATGCGATTTCCGTTTAGGCTTAATTCCGATACTTTCCTACCTAATGATTCGAGATTATCGTCATCGCTCGCACACCTACTGTGACGATCTAATATATCAATATTATTCCTTTCTAATTTGTTCTCGTTTTGTACATCCTCCTACATTAAGAAAAAAAAAAAAAAAATACAAAGTCACGTGATTTTCTTTGGAATCTTGGTAGAGAGTGTGTGCGCGTGTGTGTGTGTGTGTGTGCGCGAATGAAATGGATTTCTTACGTCTAAACTAGATGTGGACAAGAGCATGGGTGAGGGAGTGTTGTTTTCGTTCGGAGACGACGCGTCCGATTTAGAGTCTTCCGCCCTGTAGAAATATTTACAACGTTCTCCGTTACTCCTAACGAAATAAACGGGTTGTTCTTTTCCATCCGTTTCCGTTATTATTCGGTTTTTATCATACATGAGATATAATTTTTTATCATCTTTCAATATGTTTCCTCCGCGTCTGATGGATCGTCCGACTCCGTCGCCTTCGTCGTCGTCGTCATCCTCTTCTTCTTCCAAATTTCCCTCCGTGCAACAGGTACTCGTGGAAATGGAATGTTTTTCCGGTGGCATTTTAATATCCGATTCCGAACTGCATGAACACGTCAGATCCGTTTGCGTACCGCAGTCGACTAAACTGCTACGAAATATTTTTTCCGGCAAAATGCATTTCACTTGCTGTCATTGAAACGTAACAGAAAAAAAAAAAAAAAAAAAAAAAAAATAGGAAAATTTTATTAAATTTTAATGTCGTAATCCGTCCGTCGGTCGGTCGATTCGTTCGTTCGTTTTTTTTTTTTTTTTTAATTAAAAATCATCGAGGCCACAAACCGTACCTTTCTATCCTTGCCGGGACTTTGCCTTGGGGAACTTATTTGCCTGTGTCTAGATTTCCTATGTTGAGCAGTTCTTTCCAAAAGAACGGATTCGACTTTAGATGAACCGTTGAGTTGAACGTAAAGATCGGCTTTTATGGGATCCTGAAACGATTGCGAACGCGTAATTTAATACCCCCCCCCTTAAAATGTCATCCCTTCAATTATCATTATTATTATTATTTCTACCTCGTTCGGACTAGGCAAAAGTGACTCTGAAGAAGGTTTGTGTTCGGGTGATGTTGGCACTGATAAAGACTCTTTTCCTTTTCTCCTTTTGTTAAATTTTTGAAACGGCCTTTCCAGTCTTCGTCTATTTCCAGATCTATAATTAATATTTTTTTCTCTCCTGAAACAAAAATTTATTTATTTAATTTATTTTTAGGGAGTTTAAATTGAAAAGCGGATTTGAAATCCTTTTGAAAAAAAAAAAAACTCACTCTTTGATTTCTTTTTCCCTTTCTTCCAATTGCAACAAAACCGTGCTCAATTCCAAATACAAATGATTGGCTCTTTCCATTTTCCTTTCGAAAAGGCATCGTATATCCTGTGCGTGTTTCAACTCGTCTTTTCGCTTTTTTATGAGATCCGCTTCGACTCTTTTCAATTGACTCCCGCTTGCTTTCATGTGTTGCATATGATCTATAACTTCTTTCTTCCAAAATTTCTAATCGGGGAAGGAGGGGAGGGGGAAACGAAAACAAAAGGGGGGGGCATTAATTTATTTTACAAACAAACAGTTTAGAGTGTTAACACCATTTTCAACTTACTTGAGACGTGAAATAATCTTCGTTTGATTCGGCTAATACCTCTTTGGCTGCAATATCTAAATGATTTAATATGATTTTAAAAGAAGGACGGTTTCTAGGTTTCACGCTCCAGCATTGAGTCATGAGAATTCTAAAACCTTCGGGACAAGTCGAAGGAATGTGTAAAGTCATCGATTTCGTTCCGACGCCGTATATTATGCAACTTTCTTCGACGTCTTTATACGGAGCTTCACCGGTTAACAATTCCCACAAGACGACGCCGTAAGACCTGGATTGAAAAAAAAAAAATGGAAATGGAGGAAAACGCAATTTAAGAAAAGTAAGGTAAGACGAAAAAGTTTTTCTTATTCTTCTTTTTCTTCTGTCTTTTCATTCTCATTCGTGTCGCGCACTCACCAAACGTCAACCTTTTCCGAACAAGGTTCGTGAAGTATGACTTCGGGTGCCATCCAAGCCACGGTACCGGCAAAACTCATTATAGTACTTTTTTCATTCCATTCTCTGCTAGTTCCAAAATCGCTTATTTTCATCACTTCTCCGATTCCTATGAGCACGCTGCGAATGAATAAATAAACAAATAGTGAGCCGACATTTTCTTTTTTTTTTTTTTTTGGCGATCGATCGTTGAAAAAATTAAATAATAATTTGAATCGAGTCTGGTCTGGTCTGTTATAATACTCGTATTTCAAGGTTTTTAAACGCGAGTTTTCTCAGTCAAGGCCTTGTCCCCTAGTCCCGCCCCCCCCCGAAAAAAAAAATTATGTGTTTCCGGGTGAGTCCGGTTCTGGACACACATATCGTTAAGGTATCAACATCAGTCTTTTTTTAGAACGAGTTAATTGTCGGCCTCCACAAAATGTTTAAAAAAAACCAATCATTACAAACGAGAAACATTTCATTTTATACAATATTGCATAACGTATAATAATAATAATAATAATAATAATAATAATAATAATAAGTCGTGTACGATATCTCACGGCCAAATGCGGCCTAAAACTGTAGAGCAAGGTTTAGAGAGGTAGTAGACATTTTTATTTCGAGCCGTTCTCCATCTTTCTTTTTTTTTTTTTTTCGGAGAGGAGGTGGGTTAGTGGGGGGTTTCCCGCCTTAAACGAACAAGAGTTAGAGCACGCACGCACGCACGCACGCACGCACGAACATGTACAAAAAAAAAAAAAAAAAAAACAAACGTACTTGGGACTTTTGAGATCTCTGTGAATAATTTTATGAGCGTGAAGATAGTTCATTCCGGAAGCAATTTGTTTCGACCAGCTAATAAGTCTTTTCGGTGGAACCGGTTCTCCCGATTTCAATATGTTGTACAAAGTACCCGCCGGACAATATTCCATGATTATCCAGAAAAAGGGTGCTTGAGTGCACACGCCTCTGAAAGATACACAAAAAAAAAAAAATTAAAAAAAATTATTATTATTATTTACGTAAATAATATAAATATTTTCATCAATCATCGACTGATAAGAGATTTTCGAGATTACGTAGAAAAAAAAAAAAAAAGTAGGAAAATATTTGATTTTGATAATGCGAGTACCCGATTGCGGTACGTGATGGCGGTTTAAAATTTTTTTTTTTTTTTAACCGACGCGACAATTTCACCAACGAAATTTCCGTTCGAAACGTTATTATTATTATTATTATTATCATTGCGTACTCACTTGAATTTGACGACGTTCGGATGATTGAGCTTTCTTAAATTTTTAATATCAGTCTCTTTTTGTTCTTGAACTTTCTTAACGGCTACGATTTCGCCGCGGAGTTTTCCGCTGAAAACGGCACCCTGAGCTCCGGCGCCCAACCAAGTTAAATCCGTAATCGCTTCAAATGGAATTTCCCAATCGTCTGGAAAAGAAAAACGTTTAAAAATTTTCTTTACAAGAGAGAGAGAGGAAAAGGGAAAATAGGTAGACTCATTACCTTGCAAGTGACTTTTAAGCTCGTTCCCCGTCGCTTTTCCAATTATTTTCCAAACGGGTTGCAAACACCCTAGCAGGCCGTCCATCCAACCGTTGGATTCGTGATTCTCGTCCAAATTCGGCATGTTTTCCACGCTCTCTTCCAGTGTCGTCCCATCCGTTTGCGTGAGACCGTTTTCGAGAGGTGAACCCACTCGCGATCCCAAAACGCCCAATTCTTCCTGGATGCAGAGCATGCTGAAATCATTTATTATTATTATTATTATTATTATTATTATTATTATTATTATTATTATTATTATTTTCACGATCCATCCCGAGTCGATACTTTTAGACTTTGATCTTTCGGACTGTATTATTATTATTATTATTACTTAACCGTCGATCAGGTTTGTGACGTCAGTGAACAAAAAAAAAAAAAAAAAAAATTAACTAATCGAACGTTATTATCGACCGTCGGTATCTATTCGATGATTATTATTTACGGATTAGTACTTGATTATCATTATTATTATCATGTATTAAATTTTAGTTTCCCGCCTCCTTTTCCCTTTCCCTCCTCCCCCTCCGCCTTCCCCTCCACCGTTTTTAATTCATTTATGGTGAAATTTTTTTCCCCGATTTTTCCAGTAAACGATTTGCCACACGCGCGCGCACACACATTTCGAACGTAATTTTCTTCTTTCTTCCCCCCCCCCTCATTCAACGATTATCCGACATCGAATTACCTTCTAATTATTACGTAAACTACGGGGGGAGGGGGGCCCCGAACGCGTTACTTACACGCCCCTTTTTTCCGAGAAATCATTTTTTTTTTTTTTTTGTTCGGACATTCGCGATTCATTTCGCACGTACGTTTAAAATTTTCTTTTTTTTTTTTGGGGGAGGGGGGGGGATTTTCCAGTTCGTTTCCCTCGCTTACGTTAATTTGGCGACACGTATTTGTCGCAAAAAAAAAAAAAAAAAAAAAAAAAAATTATTTTTTGTCCCACGCAAGATGTCGGACGAGGCGAATGCTGCCACCATCATCAGTACCAAATTAACTGTATTCGTTCTCTCTCTCTCTCTCTCTCTGCTCCCCCCTTCTCTCCCTCTCTCTCGTTATTATTATTATTATTTTTTTTTTCCATGTAAGTTTTGACTGCGAAAATTCATAATTAGATAATTTTTTTTTTTTTTTTTTAACTGTTCAAGGTTATCACGGTAGCCGGGCATATTGTTTAGGTTTCCCTCCTACGCTTTTCGCATATAAAACACATAAATATTTATTTAAAAAAAAAAAAAAAATCGAGAAAAGCAATATATACGTTTGCACATATGCGCGAAACATGGATGCCAACAAATTAAAAAATATAGAAAAAAAAAAAAAAATTTTTTTCGAATTAAAATTCCTTATGGGGGGGGGGTGGAGGGGGGATTAAAAACAATTTTTTTTTCTTTTTGTCCCGACGTGAATTTAATACGAATGGCTCCTCGCTCGCGATTGCCGCCCCGCGCGCGCGCGCGTGTGTGTGTGTGCGTGCCAAAATTTGATGGGGGGCATTCCGACATTTTTCCCTTTTTTTTCACACCACACCATAGTTTAACGATCGTTATGCATTGCACACTGACAACTATACTGAGAAATTAGGTTCGGATTTAATGTCGTAACCCCAAAACGACCGACCGACCGACCTTTCGAAACAATAAAAATCGTTTGTCCTTTTATAAGATTACTTAACGACAAACGGACTCGGAGTATTTATAATAATAATAATAATAATAATAATAATAATAATAGGAAAAGGAATCTCGGATGTGACAAGCAAATACTTTACTATAAAATAAAAATATTAAAAAAAAAAAAAAAAATGATGAAAACACATGTGTGATTTGTGTGTAATCATTTCGAAGTAAAACAATAATAATAATAATAATAATTATGGGGTCAAACGACGAGAGAATGAGAGACGAGACAATAATATCGACAGGACAAAACCCCTTAGGAACCAGCATAACAACAACCAAAACAACAAAAACAACAACAACAAACGGACGAATTTTCAATAATAATGATAATAATAATATAATCTCGTTGAACGTGCTTGCAATCATATTCGTTCGCGTGAGAGATTTTACCCAGAGAGAGAGAGAGAAAGAGAGAGAGAATTTATTTAAAAATAAGAGAGAAAGAGAGAGAGTATTTAAAAAAAAACACACACATTAGCATCCATTATACATTTTGAAAAACAAAACAAAAACAAAATCAATCACTTGTCTTTGTTTTACATTACAATCTATACATTTATCTATCTCTTTCTCTCTCTCTCTCTCTCTCTCTCTCTCTCTCTCACACTTTTTTGTCTTTTTTCTTCTGCTCGGTATATCGTGTTTTTTGTTTACTTACAAAAATTCCAAACGGGGTCGAAGCTTCCGCATACGTTCCTTATTGTCCCATAGTCAGAATATCATGAAAAAGAAATCGACGAATAGATAGAAAAACAAGAGTAAAATTTTCATCTTGTATTTATAACACGGACGACAAACAAGAAATAATAATAATAATAACAAAAACAACGACGACAACAACAACAACAACAATAATAATAATAATAATAATAATAATAATAACAACGAACTAAAACGACAACGACTATAATACAGAGAAAAAAAATTTTTTTCTTTTATTCTTTTAATCTTCGGCCCGAAACGACTGAGACCCGCATATCGCTTTTCGTTCGTACTACATTATTTGTTATCTTATATTGGAAAATATTTTATTCACTTTCCACACACTGTAAGATGATTCGGAAATCCGTTTGAATTTTTACGTCGACAAAGATCTTTTTACGTTCGTGGAAAAAAGGGAAGACGTATAAAAAAAATGAAACGACCGTTTGATCACGACCGACTACCTAGACCTTCTTTCATTTTCGCTTAATCCCAAAGTACAGGGTTCACAACGACGACGACAATAACAACAACAACAACAAATTAAAAATGTCCGATTTGAATCGTTAGAGGCATTTGCCGCGAAAAATTTAATAGCGATGATGATGATAATAATAATAGTGATTCGTCTCAAGGTGAGATTTCGCACATTTAAAAAAAAAAAAAAAAAAAAAAAATGGGGGGTTTTCGAAAATTAATCGTTTCGAATGAATTGTATGTAGGAAATTACGCAACGTCATTCATCACGCGGATCTCACCGCGTCTTGAAACCTCCTGGAGTAGACCTCTTGTAGGTTTATCATTTTATCACTGTCAGTCGTATTTTTGTCACGCGAAATAACGTTGTACCCCCCCCCTGTCTCCCTCCTCCCTCCCTCCCCCCGAAAAAAACGATTTAATAATTTGTTGAAATGTTTACGAAAAAATTCGATTCGATTTTTTTCTAATTCGTGCTTTTTTTTTTGGTTTCGAAATGGAAAAAAAAATCGATCGATTCGCGGTCGTGAGATTGTACGAATTGGCGCGTATACCTGATAAATTTAAATAATCAAATTTTCCATTCGAACAACCAAAACAACAACAAATTTCTTTATTTCGAAAAACAAAAACATAAACAAAAAAAATTTTCTTGTGCGCATGCGCGTGCGCGTGTTTTAACGGAACACCTTCGGAGAGTATTCAAATAAAAAATAATAGTAATGATAATAATAATAATAATAATAATAATAATAATGAATTTAACGGTTTCCTGTTGTGAAAACTCATTAGGTTGTTGCGACACGCAACCGCGCGAACGTGTTTCTTTTTTTTTTTTTTTTTTTTTTTTCGCATAATTCGGTCGGCCATTTTCTCGGCCGTTGTTTCGTTTGGATGGCATTGTCTATGCTCGATTGAAAATCATGTTCTGTTCAACAAATCTCAATGTCCGTAACGGGTCCAGAAATGGGTAAAAAAAAAAAGGACCCACACAAAACCCAATCGGGAAACGAATGTCTTGATTTTTCCATCTCTCAATCGATATCGAAATCGAACAATCTATAGATAATAATAATAATAATAATTTTCAAGGAAAAATATAATACGAACGAATGATTTTACACTTACGGTCCGAGTTTAAAATTTAAAAAAAAAAAAAAAATTTCCGGGCCGTTAATTTCGGATTTTTAATTTTTAATGTGAGAAAACAAGCACGTAACGTAGGGTGCTAGATTAACATCGAAAAAATTATTATTATTATTAATATTTTTCACGAGGGAAAATTGTTGGTGACACGTGCAAATATCGTACGAAATTCACACGTTTCCACGTTTGCAAATATTATAAACAAATAAGTCGTACGCGTGCGATCGATATCCTTACGTCATTTTCATTTTCCTCCACCCGGTGAACCTTGTTATTATTATTATTATCAACAAAAAATTTTAATTAATTAAGTTCACCCCTTCGTTACAATTAACCCCTTTCGGATTTCTCATGTTGTCGCACATGGGAAATAAGAATAAATCTAACGGAAATCACCTTTTGCGAACGCAGCGAATAAAGCTAACAAACCGGAAACCGTCGGAAAAACCAAATAATAATAATAATAATAATAATAATAAAAAACGAAGAGATGATTCGAAATCTCGAAGTAAATCTCGCGAGTTGAAAAAAAAAAAACCGTTAGAAAAATTCGTTACGTTTTCAATTCGAAATCATTTTCAAATGAAAATTCACGACGAATCAGTGCAGGCAACGTGACAGGAAAAGTTTGAATGAGAAATTTTTTTAAAAAGGAATATGTTCTCATAGAGTAAATAAATCCGTCGAACTTTGTGTTGAAGAAAAAAATGGAAAGGAAACAAACATTATTTGTAAATTTGACGATTGACGTAAATCAATGACGACGACCATGAGTTGTTTATTAAAACACGAAATCAATCAGGAGGAGAAAAAAAAAATAATAATAATAATAATAATAATAATTTTCGAACGCGAAACACGTCGTGACACGTACAAAGTCCATACACAAAAGAAAAAAAGGAAAAAAAAAAAATGGCGAACACAATAAAGGCAAAGGATCCAACAACATAATGCTCATAATAAGGAGAGAAAGAAAGTGAGAGAGAGATAGATAGATAGAGAGAGAAAAAGGAAGAAAGAAGAAAAAGAATGTTATTGTCCGTTGGAGAAAACAATAGCCTTCTATATACATATATATATTAACGTCATCAAACTTTTTTTTTTTTTTTTTTTTGTCTGAGGACAAATAAATATTATTATTATTATTTATATATTTAATAAAAACAACAACAACAACAACAAC